ATCTCAAACATGACCTCCCTTGGAGTGATCTCAAATTGACTTTCCTTAGAGTGATCTCAAAAGTGACCTCCCTTCCCAAGTTTGGAGCAGACATCTCCGTCCAACCTGATGTGTTCATCCAGCTCCTCAGATATCTTGTTGCTCTGGACCGTACCCTTTGCTTCCTCACTTGTTTCAGGAGCTTTGTCTGCTGTGTTTATTAAAAGGTCAACCCCTTGTGGGAGTGATCCTTTTTTAAAAAGACCTGGCATAGCTCTGCCACATGGGTCTCCTCATGTTCCAAATACAGTGCACTCTAATCTCTAAAGTGCCTTCCACACCCTAAGTCCAGGAAGCCCCCAGAGAGTCACAAGGGATGTTAGGTGGGGGATTTTCCCTGACCTCCTGCACTGCTCTTTGCTTTTGGATATCATCGCAAACCACTCTATTAAATATCATCATCAAAACACTCTATTCCTGAATGTAAGGGTAAAGAGTGGGGAGGCCCCTGCAATCCAAGCAGCGAGTCAGAAAGTGGACCAAGAAAATCCAGAAAAAATTCCTGGGCAATTTTTGTCCTTTCAGTGATTTTTTTTTCTTCTCATATTAGTCTCTGTTGTCATTGTGGGAATTCTTAGTTTCATCAGTCATGACATGTTGCATCTTTTTAAATGTACTTTTTCATGGTTTTCTGAGTTATTGCCTGGCAGATGTTTCATGTGTGTGCTTAGTCATTCAACCATGTCCAACTCTCTGCAGCCCCACGGACTGTAGACTGCTAGACTCCTCTGTTGGTGGAATTTCACAAGCAAGAATACTGAGCAGGTTGCCATCTCCTTCTCCAGGGGATCTTCCCCACCCAGGGATCGAACCCCATGTCTTGCCTCTCCTGCATTGGCAGGCGGAACATGCTATTAAAAATGCAAGAAGAGCTCTTCCTGCCATCTTTCAGTACTGCCATAATGGTGCACGAATGTCCTGGTTGATGCTCTGGAGTACCAACAATGGCAAAAGGAAAGAGGTAAATGACAGGTTCCAATCAGGCCATGCTCCAAAGTCATCATCAGGTTTCTAACTATGATGATGAAGCATAGTTACATTGGCGAATTTGAAATCATTGATAATCACAAGGCTGGTAAAACTGTGGACCTCACAGGCAGGCTGAATAAGTGGCAAGTGGTCAGCCCAAGATTTGATGTGCAACTCAAAGAGCTAGAAAAATGACAGAATAACTTTCTCCCATCCTGTCTGTTTGGTTTCATTGTTCTGACAATCTCAGCTGACATCACGGACCATGAAGAAACAAGACGAAAACACACAGGAGGGAAAATCCTTGGATTCTTTTCCTAGGGATGTACTATGTGCATGCAAATAAAATGCCTCAATGGTTAAAAAAAAAAAAGATACAAACGCAGGTCTTCCTAATGAAATAAAGAAAGCAGATGATTTTTAAAAATTCTTTAAAAATCAAAGTATAGTTTATTTACAGTATTTTCTTAGTTACACGTGTTCAACATAGTAATTCAATTTTTTACAAATTATGTTCCATTTGGTATTACAAAATAACGCCTATATTTCTCTGTGTTGTATATACTTGTTGCTTATTTGTGTCATACACAGTAGTTTGCACCTCTCAATCCCATGCCCCTTCCCCTCTCTCTCCCCACTAGTAACCACTAGTTTGTTCTCTGTATCTGTTTCTGTTTTGTTTGTACACTTGTTTGGTTTATTTCTTAGATTCTACATATATTTGATGAATATCTTGGACAGTAAGGAGATCAAACCAGTCAATCCTAAAGGAAATCAACCCTGAATATTCATTGGAATGACTGGTGCTGTAGCTGAAGCTCCAATACTTTGGCCACCTGATGTGAAGCGCCAACTCATTGGAGAAGACCCTGATGCTGGGAAAGACTGAAGGCAGGAGGAGAAGGGGCCTATATCTTGGACAGTAAGGAGATCAAACCAGTCAATCCTAAAGGAAATCAACCCTGAATATTCATTGGAATGACTGGTGCTGTAGCTGAAGCTCCAATACTTTGGCCACCTGATGTGAAGCGCCAACTCATTGGAGAAGACCCTGATGCTGGGAAAGACTGAAGGCAGGAGGAGAAGGGGACGACAGAAGATGAGATGGTTGGATGGCATCACCGACTCAATGGTCATGAGTTTGAGCAAACTCCAGAAGATTGTGAAGGACAGGGGAACCTGGTGTGCTGCGGTCCATTCATGTTGGTGCAAATGGCAGAATTTCATTCTTCTTTTATGGCTGAGGAGTATTCCATTGTGTATATATGTACCACATCTTCTTTATTCATTCATCTATTGATGGACACATAGGTTGTTTCCATATCTTGGCTGTTACAAATAATGCTGCTATGAACATTGGGATGCATGTATCTTTTCAAATTAGTGTTTTTGTTTTCTTTGGATATAAACCCAGGAGTGGAACTGCTGAGTCATACAACAATACATACATACAGTTTTTTTGAGACGCTGCCACACTGTTTTCCATAATGGCTGCACTAGTTTACATTCCCACCAACAATGCACAAGGGTTCCCTTTTCTCCACATCCTTGTCAAAATTTGTTATTTGTATTATACTTTTGATGATAGCTTCCCTGGTGGCTCAGATGGTAAAGCGTCTACCTCCAATGCGGGAGACCCGAGCTCAATCCCTGGGTTGGAAAGATCCCCTGGAGAAGGAAATGGCAACCCACTCCAGTACTCTTGCCTGGAAAATTCCATGGACTGAGGAGCCTGGTAGGCTACAGTCCATGAGGTCGCAAAGAGTCGGACACGACTGAGCAACTTTATTTACTTACTTTGATGATAGCTATTCTGACAGGTGTGAGATGATATCTCATTGTGCTTTTAATTTACATTTCTATAATAATTCCATGATGACTAGTGGGGCTTCCAAGGTGGCACTAGTGGTAAAGAACCCACCTGCCAATGGAGGAGACGTAAGAGATGCAGGTTCGATCCCTGGGTTAGGAAGATCCTCTGGAGGAAGGCATGGCAACCCACTCCAGTATTCTTGCCTGGAGAATCCCATGGACAGAGGGGCCTAGCAGGCTACAGTCCATGGGGTCGCAAAGAGTCAGACATGGCTGAAGTGACTGAGCCCACATGCAGTGATTAGTGATGCTGAGTATCTGTTCACGTGCCTAATAGCCATTTCTACGTCTTCTTTGGGAAAATGTCTACTCAGGTCTTCTGCCCTGAAATTAATATTTACATCTCTTTGGTCTCCTTAAACCTGGAAGAAACAGAGAAAAGCATAGATTTCATCTGGATACTTTTTAGGTACCTATGATGTATCAAGCTGTACAACAAGCAATTGGACACAATAAAAATATTTTGAGCTCAGATAAAAATTATAGCCCATTAAAATGTAATCAAATGAGTGTATTGATTATCTACTAAAATTTTAAGTTTTATTCTGAAATACTGCTATTAGTGCACAAAGCTGGTATGCAGTAATGAGTAGCATGTGGCAAACCAACATTTCCACTGAGAACAGTTAGAAAAGGCCGTTATCATACATAAAACATCTGTCTGAAGGCAATTTAAAGCTGAGGCAACCAGCTTTGCTTTGCTTTAGACAAATTAGAGATTTGCAAATACAAATCAGAAATAAACAAAACTGTGAAAACTCTCCTTGAGTAGCTAAGTCTCTAACTGGATTAAGATAATCATATGTTACTCTGTTGGCCTTGCAAAGAAGAGCATGAATCTTCTTGAGAGGAAGACAGTATCATCTAGATCCTCTATACCTTTTTTCATACAGTGTCTAGGATTTAACTGAAAATTACCTGGTATGCCAAAATACAGGACTGTATGGTGAAGACCAAGAAGGAAAAAAACATACAACAGAAACAGACCAAAGTTAATCCAAATAATGGAATTATCAGACAAGCTATTATTTCTGTGCATAAGAAAAAGAGGAAAAGAGGGAGAAAAAAATCATCAAAGAATTGACAGACTCCAGTAGGAATTCTAGAATTGAATTGAAATTAGACACTAACAGATAGGTTTAACAGGAAATTAGACAGCAAAAGATAAAATTAGTGAACTAAAAGGCTGATAAAATCAATATTTGGATTTAAGCATATATATGGCAACCCACTCCAGTATTCTTGCCTGGAGAATCCCATGGATGGAGGAGTCTGGTTGGCTGCAGTCCGCGGGGTCGCAAAGAGTCGGACACGACTGAATGACTTCACTTTCAGAGGAAAAGAAGAGTGAAAATTCAGTTTAAAAAATAGCCATATGGCACACAACAAAAACATCAAATGTATACACAACATGGAGGGATGCGAGAAGGAATAAGAGTAATATTTTCTTTAAGAGATAACTTTTGAAAAATTCCAAAGCTGACAAGACAGAAAAAGCTGTGAATTGACATTCTGTGAATCCCAAGCAGGATGAATAGAAACAAAAATATATATAGGCACAGCATATTAAACTGTTAAACATCAAAGACAAAGGAAAAAATCTTAAGATGAAGAAAAAAGTGCACAGTACTTTCACAGTAGTAACAGAAAATATTCTGTTGACTGTTTAAAGTTTTCATTTTATGTTGGACTATAGTTGATTAACAATGCTGTGTTAGTTTCAGGGGTACAGCAAAATGATTCAGTTATACATGTATCTTCTTTTTATTCTGTTGACTTTTTACAATTTAGATATAATTGGCATATAACATTATATTAGCGACTGGTATACAACACAGTGATTAGATATTTCTGTATATTGCAAAGTGATCACCACTGGACAGTAAGTCTAGTTGATATCCATCACCATACATTATTACAACATTTTTTTCCTTGTGAAAACTTTTAAGATTTATTCTAACAACCTTCAAGTATACAATAGAGTATTACCATAGTTGGGCTTCTCTGGTAGCTCTGCTGGTAAAGAATCCACCTGCAATGCAGGACACCCTGGCTCGCCTTCTGAGTTGGGAAGATCCAGGAATCTGAAGCAGAAGGGATAGGCTATCCACTTCAGTGTTCTTGGGCTGCCCTGGTCACTCAACCGGTAAAGAATCCACCTGCAGTGTGGGAGACCTGGGTTCAATCCCTGGGTTGGGAAGATCCCCTGGAGAAGGGAACAGCTACCTACTCCAGTATTCTGACCTGGAGAATTCCATGAACTGCATAGTCCATGGGGTCACAAAGAGTGGGACGTGACTGAGCAAATTTCACTTTCACTTTCATTACCATAGTCACCATGCTGTGTATATAACATCCCATGACTTATTCATTTTACAGTTGGAATTTTGTGCTTTTTAACTTACTTTATCCATTTTGCAACCCCATCCCCATCCCTAATCTTTGTATTCATGAGCTGGTAGCTTTTTTGATTGGTTGGTTTTTGTCTTCATATTCCACATATAAGTGAGATCACATAATATTTGTTTTTCTCTGTCTTATTTCACTTAACGTTATGCCCTAAAAATCCACCCATATTGTCAAAAATGGCAAAATTTCCTTCTTTTTCTATGACTGAATAATGTTTCATTGTGTGTGTTTAATGACTATAGAGAATATAGGAACATAAGTTTCTTCCATATCTTGGCTATTGTAAATAATGCTTCAGTAAACATAGGGGTACATGTATCTTTCAGTTAGTACTTTTTTCTTCCTTTGAACAAACACCCAGGGGTGAACCTGTGGGATCATATGGTCGTTCTACTTTAAATTTTTTGAGGAACTTCCATACTATTTTCCATAGTGGTTGCACAAATTTATATTCCCACCAACAGTGCACAAGCGTTCCTTTTCTTTCAATCCTCACTAAAACTTGTCATTTCTTGTCTTTTTGATGATAGCCATTCTAACAGGTGTGCGGTGATATCTCATTGTGGTTTTGATTTTCATTTCCTTAATGATTAGTGATGTTAAAGCACTTTTTCATGTACCTTTTATTATCTGTATGTCTTCTTTAGAAAAATGTCTATTCAGATTCTGTGCCCATTTTAAAATTAGATTGTTTTATTTTGTAGTTATTGAGTTGAACGAATTCTTTATATACTTTGGATGTTAACCCCTCATCAGACACACGATGTGCAAATATATTCTCCTATTTGGTATGTTGTCTTTTAATTTTATTGATGATTTAATTTGTTTTACACAAGGTTTTAAGTTTGATGGACAGGGAGGCCTGGCGTGCTGTGGTTCATGGGGTCGCAAAGAGTTGGACACGACTGAGTGACTGAACTGAACTGAACTGAATTGCTTGTTTATTTTTGCTTTTGTTATCTGTGCTTTTGGTGTCAATTCAAAAAAACAAAATCACCAAGACAGATGCTAAGCAGCTTACCACCTATGTTTTCTTCTAGGAGTTTTATGATTTCAGATCTAACATTAAAGCTTTTAATCCATTTTGAGTTAATTTTGTATGTAAGATATGGATTAATGGAACAGGATAGAAATCCAAGAAATAAATCCAAGCACTTGTCAGTTAATCCATGATAAAGGAGGTAAGAATATACAGTGGAGAAAAGACAATTTCTTCAATAAGTGGTGCTGGGAAAACAGGACAGCTCCATTTAATAATAAAAGAATGAAATCAGAACATTCTCCATCACCATTTACAAAAATAATATCAAAATGAATTATTAAAGACTTAAATACAAGACTGGAAACCATAAAACTCCTAGAAGAAAACACAGGCAGAATACTCTTTGACATAAATTGTAGAAATATATATATTTTTGGATCTGTCTCTGAAAGCAAAGAAAATAAAAGCAAAAGTAAATAAATGGAACCTAGTGAAACTTAAAAGCTTTTGCACAGTAAAGAAAACCATTGACAAAATGAAAAGACAATCTACTAAATAGGAGAAAATATTTCCAAATCATATGACTGATAAGGGGCTACTATCCAAAATATTAAAATAGCTCATACAACTTAACATCAAAAAGCTAGCAACATGATTTTCAAATGTGCAGAAGACCTGAATAGACAATTTTCCAAAGAAAACAAACAGATGGCCAGCAGGAACATGGAAAGAGACTCAACACTGTTAATCATCAGAGAAGCTCAACTTAAAACCACAATGAGACATCACCTTATACTGCCAGAGTAGCTACCATTAAAAAGAACACAAATAAAAAATGTTGGCGAGCATGTGAAAAACAGTAAGGAGCTTTCTCAAAAGACTAAAAAGAGAACTACCACATCACCCAGCAAATTCACTCCTGGTTATATATCCAAAAAATGAAAAACTAATTTGTAAATACATATGAATCCCAATGTTCATAGCAGCATTATTTATAACTGAAGCAACCTAAGTGTTTGTCAACAATGAATGGATAAAGAAGATGTGCTATATGTGTACAATGGAATTTTACTCAGCCATAAAAATGAAACCTTGCCTTTTTTCAACAGCATGGATAAAATAAGTCAGACAGAAAGACAAATACTGTATGATATCACTTATATGTAGAATCTAAAATATAAAGCAAACTAGTTAAAACTAGTAACAAACTAGTAACAAAAAAGGAACAGACCCACAGATACAGTGGGGAGAAGGAAGTGGGGGAAGGGAAAAATAGAGTAGGGATTAAGAGGTACAAACTACTATGTATAAAATAAATAGGCTCCAGGGATATATTGTACAACACAAGGAATATAGCCAATATTTTATAAAAACTATAAACGAGGGATAACCTTTAAAAATTGTGAATCATATACTTACCCAGCAGGGGAGATAACATGATCACGAAGGTGGTTTTCCCAGGGCAAGGCTCATCCATTGCATTCCAGGTGTTGCATTCCTGCAATTTCCCCAAATGTGGGGAACTTGGCTGCATAATTTGTAGTAGGGAGGAGCTGCATTCATGCTTCCCCCTGGTCTTTGTAGGTTTTGAAAAACAAACATCTGGGAATTTCCCAGTGGTTCAGCGTTTAAGAATCTGTGCTTCCACTGCAGGGGGCACAGGTTCAATCCTTGGTTCTGGAACTAAGACCCTATATGCCATGTGGTACAGCCAAAAACCAAAACAAAACAAAAAATAGAACAAAACACTGTGAATCGCTGTGTTGTATAGTAAAACTTAATATTGTAAATCACCATTTACATAAATACATAAACATTTAAAAAAGAAAGTAATTATTGACAGGTTTGTATTTAGTACCATTTTGCCATTTCCTGCTATTTTGTAGCTCGTCTGTTTCTTTTTTCTTCTCTCACTCACTTGCTTTGTGATTTGATGACTTTCTGTAGTAGTATGCTTAGATTCTTATCCCTTTATCTTTTGGAGTGGAAACGGAAACCCACTCCATTATTCTTGCCTGGAGAATTCTATGGACAGGGGAACCTGGCCGGCTACAATCCATGGGGTCGCAAAGAGTTGGACAGGACTGAGTGACTATCAATTATACTTTCATATGTTTTCCTATTACATATCTCCCTTGACTTGTGATGGTTTTATGTCCCAATAAACCCATCATAAGTTGAAAATATTTTAAGTCAAAACTGCATGTAATACAACTAACCTACTGAACATCATAGCTCAGTCCAGCCTACCTTAAATCAGCTCAGAACAGATACATTAGCCTACAGTTGGGCAAACTCATCTAACACAAAGCTTATTTTTAAATTAAAATGTTGAATATATCATTTAATTTATTAATCACTGTACTGAAAGTGAAAAACAAAATGGTTGTATGGATACTCACCATCAAAGCAGACAGCTGAAAGTGCAGCAGGCCTGAAGAATGTTTGAAACATTGAACTAAAATCAATTGCTGGATGATATTGATGCTACAGTGACAAGGTCATCAATTGTCTCTCGATGAGGCTTGAGAATAGCTGGTAGGAAGCACTGGGGCATCTACACTTGCTGATGGTTAATTAGGCACAGTATTCTTTAGGAAGGTTTCAAGCTTTGATTGTACAGTTTGTTTCTTCTTTTCATCATGAATTTCCCTACAGCAAATAAGAGCATCCTGTATCTGCTTGTGAGCTCTTGAGAACCTCTTGTAATTGACATCCATTTCTTCTAATATCCATATGCCCCTGCTCACAGTAGTAAATGTCTTTGCCAGTTTCTTTGCTGTTAACTCTCCTGGTGCCTTGGTATAACTTCTTCCTCTGCCTCAACTTTGTTACTTTTAAAAAAGTTTTTATTGAATTTGTTACAATATTGCTTCTATTTTATGTTTTGGAATTTTGGCCTTGAGGCATGTGGGATCTTAGCTGCCGATCAGGGATAAAACCCACACCCTCTTCTTTGAAAGGCAAAGTCTTAACCGCTGGATGGCCAGGGAAGTCCCCCAACTTCTTTACTATTTTTACCTCCAGTTTGATGAGCTCCTCCCTGGAAAGCTCTTCAGCTTTGATGCCACCAAAGCTCATGAATATCCTCTATATCAATGTCCAATTCTAGATGTTTCTCAAGCACCAGTGTTTTGTGAGGTGGCTCAGTGGTAAAGAATCTGCCTGCCAAGCAGGAGACACAGGTTCAATCCCTGGTTCAGGAAGATCTCCTGGAGAAGGAAAGGGCAATCCACTCCAGTATTCTTGCCTGGAAAATCCCATGGACAGAGGAGCCTGGCAGGCTACAGTCCATGGGGTCACAAAAGGGTCAGACACGACTTAGTGACTATACAACAACAGAATATCTTGTTACTTAATATTTCATCAACCGCAGAATCACTTGAATATTCACCTATGTCTTCATTCATTGCTGTGTGACTTTGATCCACACTACAACAATGCTCTGGATGGATTTAGCATGTGAAAATCTTTTCAAATCTCTGAGAGTGTTTGGCCAGATTCACCACTTCAAAAGCATATGCAAACCTTTGGCATAAATAGGGTGCTTTGAATGTAGCTGTTGCCCCTTGGTCCATTGACTGTATGAGTACCGTTGTGTTCAGTAGCAAGTATACAGCTTTTATAGCACACTGCTGATATGATGTGGATGCCTTGGAGCACTGTCTAAGATCAGAAGGGTCTTAAATTGCATGTTTTGCCTGCAACATTCTCTTGTGTGCAGAATAAGACAGTTCAAAAACCAGTTTTCAAACAATGCTGTCATCCAGGCTTCCCTGTTACGGCAACACTAAACGGGAAGTATATGCTTTTTTTGAGCAGGCTCTGGGAGTTGGTGATGGACAGGGAAGCCTGATGTGCCACAGTCCATGGGGTGGCAAAGAGTCGGACACGACTGAGCAACTGGACTGAACTGAACCTATATGCTTTCTCATATTCCTACATGCTCTAGGGTTTTCCAAGTGGTAGGTTAAGAAAGGCTTTAACTTGAACCTTACAACATCTCTATCCCAAAGCAGCATTATATAGTCTTTGAAAGCCTTGAATCCTGGCATTGTCTTGGACTTTTGATGAATGTACGTATGCTCTGGCATATGTTTTCAGAACAAGCTGATTTCATCAACATTACATATGTGTTCTCATCGACAATTATTCTACTCAGCTCTTCCTTAAATGCTTTGGCACTTCCTTAAACACTTTGGTATCAGCAACCTGCTGCCTCACCATCGACCTTCACATTATGAAAATAACAATGCCTCTTGAAACACTGGACATTTACTCACTACAAACATTCGCGTATGTGTAAGATCGTCAGCATACTCTTTAAACGTATGGAAAAAACTTGCCTCAGTAGACTACGTCGTGTGCTCCTCTGTATCTGGTCTTCCATTCCAGTGTCGAGAAATTTTCCCATATCATCGATTAGCCCAGGTAATTTCTTCGCAAAGACAGTGGATTTAACCAATGTTGACAATTTCACTGCATCACCGATTCGCTTATCCTTTAAGATGGTCGAGATCATCAATTGTGAAAGTCCTAATTCGCAAGTGATAGCCATTACTGACTTGCCACTTTCATGCAGGGAAATTATCTTGAGTTTCATCTCAAGAGTAATTGCTTTCCTCTTCTTCACATCAGAAGCAGGAAGCAACACAGTACACTATAGAGCGTTGGTTGTTTACCCTCGGGATCACATGGCTGATTGGGAGTTGTGGCTCACTGCCAGTGACCGGCATCATACGAAAATACTGTATCACATACAACTAGCTCAGGAAAAGATCAAAATTCAAAATTCGAAGTATAGTTTCTACGGAATGTGACGCGCTTCTGTACCATCGTAAAGTCAAGAAATCCTAAGTCGAACCATTCTAAGACAGAGACCATCTTGCTAATTAGCACCCTTTCATTTCACCTTAAGTCCCTGTCACATTTCTTGCAGCACCAGTCTAGTGGTGATGAACTTCTTTAGCTTTTGTTTGTCTGGAAGACTATATCATCTTCAATTCCGCGTGTTAAACTGACTATTCTGCTGACTTCTTAAGGATGCCAGCTGAGCAATTAGAAACGTCATAACTTCTCCTAGAGAACATAAAAGTAGTCCAAGAAGATTCAGAGAATTTTGCGGGGAGGGGAAACAAATTTTGGATTCTTCTTCATTTCCTTATAAAGACTGTAAATGTCATAATTATAATCTTTTCTAAATTATAAAGGTTTTCTGGGTATGTCTTGGAAATTTCCATTGCTGTTGTTAAAAATAAAAGTATTGGAATTTTTTTGCAACTTAAAAGTGGAAGAAAACTTATCCATGAACTATGCACAGAGTAATTAACAAATTAATTTTCCTAATAACTTTTAAAGGGGCTTCCCAGAGGGCTCGATGGTAAAGAATCTGCCTGCCAAGCAGGAGATGCAAGTTTGATCCCTGGGTTGGAAAGATCCCCTGGAGAAGGAAATGGCAACCCACTCCAGTATTCTTGCCTGGGAAATCCCACGAACTGGTGGGCTNAGTCAATCCCAAAGGAAATCAACACTAAATATTCAATGGAAGGACTGATGCTGAAGCTAAGGCTCCAATACTTTGGCCACCTGATGCAAAGAGCTGACTCATGAGAAAAGAACCTGCTGCTGGGAAAGACTGAAGGCAGGATGAGAAGAGCACGACAGAGGATGAGATGATTGAATGGCATCACCGACTTGATAGACTTGAGTTTGAGCAAACTCCGAGAGATGGCAGAGGACAGGGAAGCCAGCGTGCTGCAGTCTGTGGGGTTGCAAAAAGTCAGACAAAACTGAGCGACTAAACTGAACTGGACGATATTTAAACAACCTTTTGTCATTCCTCAGAAAGTAATCCATGCTGATTGCTCAAGAGATGTTGAAAAATCTCAGAATCAAATTTATCACTCAAAGTTCCAAGTCTCTTCAAGACTATAAAAAGGGCCTTCTTTAAGTCATTCATTGTTTGACTGGTTATAAGGGTGTAGGACTTAGGGTAAATTGCAGATAAGCTTGAATCATGAAGAAGTCTTGCACTGCCTTCAGTTAATAAAGAAGATTCTTCACTCCAGTAGATCTTTGTCATGACACACACTTTACCAGTGTAGCCACCAATTTTTACCAGTTTCTTCTTTAAAGTTAAGGCAGTTTGTATAGAATAACCTTTTAGTTCCTCATTCAGTTCCCTGAGGAAGGTGTATAAGACTGGTGGACGGTCCTGGGAAATTAGAAGTGCATCACAGATGACGCTCTGGTTCTCTTGCAAGTCCAGATCCGAAGACCAACTTTTAGAAAAGATCAATGTACCATGATGAACAGAGCCCATTTCTTTATGTATTAACTGTGCAAGTCCTTCATGTTGTGAGAACAGTCTCTTGCAGAAGATTTCTGGAATATACGTCACCTTTTCTGATGGCACTAGATATGAAAATAATCATAATAAATGTTTAAACACTGGAAACTTCCAATTCCAACCATGACAAAGTAGCTTGTAGCAGACCAACCCCTCCCACCAAACACAACTATAAAAGCTGCATAACATATAAAAACAGAAATATAAAGAACTAGAGAGCAACCAACACAAGCAGGACTTAAAGGGTCACAATATTTGATGGAAGCACAGGAAGTAGCACCACATTCATCCCAGCTTTTTGCCTGAGGATATTTTCCATATCATGTCATGGGTAAATACAGTGCAAGCATAAATCTCCAGTTTTACTAGACTGAGGAAAAAGAGACTGGCATTCAGGGCTACCAGAAGAACTATAATTCGAGAAGGAAAATCTAAGATAAAACTGCAGAAATGCAGCCAAACTCTACACACACATTTCCTTCAACTCACTGGCGGATACAGGGTGAGATGCAGACAACCCAGAAGAAAATGTCAACTGGGAAGTTAAAAAGAGCTGAAACTGAGTTTTATCAACCTCACAGTGGTGGGGTGACTTAGACTGGAACTCAAGTCCCTGAAAAGTGGAAGGCCCGTGGTTAACACCTCAGAATTTGAGTTGAGACTCAAGAAGAGCCATGACCTAATAATGGTAAGGGCAAAATTTAAAGATATTATTGCTAGAAAAGTATGAAACAAACCTTAAAACAAAAAATCAAGGTTATCACTGGTACTCTATCTACCTGCAGAAAGAAACAGAATCCCCTTTGGAGGAATGGAGCATCTTCCAAAGCCTCTGTAGTTTTTTCTTTTATTTTAATTGGAGGATAATTGCTTTGCAACGTTGTGTTGGTTTCTGCAACACAATATCTTAATGATATTTTCTTAAGTCCGGAAAGCAATGTTACGAGCAAATTATTTAAAATAAAAAGAAATTTTAACAAGGTGGTGTGAAATCAATATATAAAGTCAGTTGCATTTCTACATACTAGCAACAAATAAGAAAGAAATGTAACTTTTAAAGTAAAATGTTGAGAATTCCCTGGTGGTACAGTGGTTAGGACTTTGTACCTCATTCATTCTTGAGCGCACAAATTCAGTTCTGAGTCAGAGAACTAAGATCCCACAAGCTAAGCAGTGCAGCCAAACAAAAAGGTAACATCAGTTACAACAACAAGAAATTTTAAAAACCTATGCTCAGTTGTACAAAGGCCAATTGATATAAATTATGTCACTATGCCACTTCTGAAATCCATATATTCAGTGTAACTGCGATCAACATCTTTAAAGGGTTTTTGTGAAAAAAAAAAAAAAATAAATAAATAAATAAATAAATAAAGGGTTTTTGTGGCACTTAAACAGTTCTAAAATTTGTTTCATAGATTAAATGATTTTTTTTCTATGTACAGTAGATAAAAGTTTTATTAGACTGCAGACTGTTGTTTCATGGAAATTAAGATAAACATGTTTCACACAAGACATTTTGCCATGAAGTGAAATGAAGTCGCTCAGTCACATCCGACTCTTTGCGACCCCGTGGACTATAGCCTACTAGGCTCCTCGGTCCATGGGATTTTCCAGGCAAGAGTACTGGAGTGGGTTGCCATTTCCTTCTCCAAGATTAAATGATTTAAATTGCCAAGACACTCTCAAAGAAAAAGAGTAATAGTAAGCAGGCCTGCCCTGCTAAGTACTTGGAACAATATTACAATATTAAGACAGTATAGTGTGTATAAGGACAGACAAATTGACCAAATGAACATAATAGGGATTCTAGAAACATAGTTATACATATACCTAGTAATATTGCTGGAGATGGCATGGCAAATTGGTGGGTGAAAGTGGGAACTGTTCAGTAACTGGAGCTGGGTAATGTGGTTACTGGGCTTCCCTGGGGGCTCAGTGGTAAAGAATCTGCCTACCAAGCCAGGAGAACACAGGTTTGATCCCGAGGTTGGGAAGATCCCCCTGGAGAAGGAAATGGCAACCCACTCCAGTATTCTTGCCTAGGAAATCCCATGGATGGAGCAGCCTGGTGGGCTACAGTCCAGGGAGGTCACAAAGAGTCAGACACGACTTAGTGAATAAAAAACAACAATGTGGTTCTCCACATGGAATAAAATGAAATACCACCTTACATCACCAATGAGATAGATTGAGGCTTTAAATGTTAAACATAAAGTGCAAAACCCTAAAACTTTTAGAAGAAAATGAAAGGAAATATGGTTCTAACTTTCTGGTTAGAGAGGATCTCATACACAAAGCAGAAAGAGCAGTGAAACAGAAATTTTAAATATTGGTAACTTGGACTATTTTAAGTTATAATCAGCAAAAATATCAAGCTGCTGATAATCATCATATGCCTGAAGGAGTCGGACACGACTGAAGTGACTTAGCAGCAGCAGCAGCCTCAAGAAAAGAGAGGACAAAAGCTACAAACTTGGAGAAGATTTCTGTAACCTGTAATACCTATGATCAGAAGAGGATCTGGATTCTAGAATCTCCTACATATCAACAGGAAAAAGACAAAAGCCTAGTAGCAAAATGGGCAACCAACAGAATAGGCATTTCATAGGCAATAAAATACATACCGACAGTAAGTACACAAAGAGATGCTCAACCAAATTAATAACCAGGGAAATGCAGATGTAAACAGATACTATTTTACACCTATCTGCGTGGGAAAAAGGAGGATTTTGAAAAGAAAGATGAAGAGAAGCTGACAACTGGAGAAGATGTTCCATTTCTAACATGTTGGTGGGAGTAAAGTGACTCATCTACTTTGGAAAATAATCTGGCATTATCTTATTGCTTGGATATTCATATACTTCCTGACCTAGCAATTCTACTCCTAGGTGTGCACCCTAGAAAAACCTTCACAAATATGTGACAGAAGGCTGAAGAAAAATATTCAAGGTAACACTGTTTAAACAGCAGAAAACAACAAACATGTTGCCCATAAACAATAACAACAAAAACAGATAAATCAGAGATTCTGAGTATTGTTGGTCTTTCTTCAATAATGTAATATAGCCGTGTATGAAGCTGGGTCTCAATACAGACTTCCTACTGACATGATGGATTTCTTTTTTGTTTAAACTAAGCTGACTTGGGTTTCTCTTATTTCCAATGAAAGGAGCTCCTATTACACCAAGAAAAAGTCTACTCAAAATCTGAAATATTACATTTTGATATAGTCCATGCTAGACTGCAGACTGTTGTTTCATGGAAATTAAGATAAACATGTTTCACACAAGACATTTTGCCATGAAGTGAAATGAAGTCGCTCAGTCACATCCGACTCTTTGCGACCCCGTGGACTATAGCCTACTAGGCTCCTCGGTCCATGGGATTTTCCAGGCAAGAGTACTGGAGTGGGTTGCCATTTCCTTCTCCAAGATTAAATGATTTAAATTGCCAAGACACTCTCAAAGAAAAAGAGTAATAGTAAGCAGGCCTGCCCTGCTAAGTACTTGGAACAATATTACAATATTAAGACAGTATAGTGTGTATAAGGACAGACAAATTGACCAAATGAACATAATAGGGATTCTAGAAACATAGTTATACATATACCTAGTAATATTGCTGGAGATGGCATGGCAAATTGGTGGGTGAAAGTGGGAACTGTTCAGTAACTGGAGCTGGGTAATGTGGTTACTGGGCTTCCCTGGGGGCTCAGTGGTAAAGAATCTGCCTACCAAGCCAGGAGAACACAGGTTTGATCCCGAGGTTGGGAAGATCCCCCTGGAGAAGGAAATGGCAACCCACTCCAGTATTCTTGCCTAGGAAATCCCATGGATGGAGCAGCCTGGTGGGCTACAGTCCAGGGAGGTCACAAAGAGTCAGACACAACTTAGTGAATAAAAAACAACAATGTGGTTCTCCACATGGAATAAAATGAAATACCACCTTACATCACCAATGAGATAGATTGAGGCTTTAAATGTTAAACATAAAGTGCAAAACCCTAAAACTTTTAGAAGAAAATGAAAGGAAATATGGTTCTAACTTTCTGGTTAGAGAGGATCTCATACACAAAGCAGAAAGAGCAGTGAAACAGAAATTTTAAATATTGATAACTTGGACTATTTTAAGTTATAATCAGCAAAAATATCAAGCTGCTGATAATCATCATATGCCTGAAGGAGTCGGACACGACTGAAGTGACTTAGCAGCAGCAGCAGCCTCAAGAAAAGAGAGGACAAAAGCTACAAACTTGGAGAAGATTTCTGTAACCTGTAATACCTATGATCAGAAGAGGAGCTGGATTCTAGAATCTCCTACATATCAACAGGAAAAAGACAAAAGCCTAGTAGCAAAATGGGCAACCAACAGAATAGGCATTTCATAGGCAATAAAATACATACCGACAGTAAGTACACAAAGAGATGCTCAACCAAATTAATAACCAGGGAAATGCAGATGTAAACAGATACTATTTTACACCTATCTGCGTGGGAAAAAGGAGGATTTTGAAAAGAAAGATGAAGAGAAGCTGACAACTGGAGAAGATGTTCCATTTCTAACATGTTGGTGGGAGTAAAGTGACTCATCTACTTTGGAAAACAATCTGGCATTATCTTATTGCTTGGGTATTCATATACTTCCTGACCTAGCAATTCTACTCCTAGGTGTGCACCCTAGAAAAACCTTCACAAATATGTGACAGAAGGCTGAAGAAAAATATTCAAGGTAACACTGTTTAAACAGCAGAAAACAACAAACATGTTGCCCATAAACAATAACAACAAAAACAGATAAATCAGAGATTCTGAGTATTGTTGGTCTTTCTTCAATAATGTAATATAGCCGTGTATGAAGCTGGGTCTCAATACAGACTTCCTACTGACATGATGGATTTCTTTTTTGTTTAAACTAAGCTGACTTGGGTTTCTCTTATTTCCAATGAAAGGAGCTCCTATTACACCAAGAAAAAGTCTACTCAAAATCTGAAATATTACATTTTGATATAGTCCATGCTGAAAACACCAAAAGCATTCCCCTGAATGCCAGAATGAGCTTTGCTGATAAGTTTCAAGACACAGCTGATTTGAAGAGGAGATTTGAAAAGACAAACAAGTCCAAAGAAACCCTAATTAAATTACCTCTAAAGTGATATCTCTGCTGATGACTTTCTAAATTCTTACTTTTATCAACAGACCAATCATGGGGAATTGGTGATAACATACTTCGTTGAAGGTTCATCTCTTCAAACAACCTGGAAAAATCTTAAAACACAAAAAACACTTTCTTAATTTGTCACAACTAAATGCTTAGTATATCAACTAAATGCTTTGTATATCTAAAGTCTGGTTAGAAATGACCCCATTTTCCTAATAGAAATATTGTTAAATATCGTGGATAGATTCCCAGGTCAGACAAAAGTTATAAATTTATTCCTTGAAGCTGCTGAAGCATACTATGTTGAATATTAATAGGAAAGTGCATGAATAGTAATTGAATACATTACCATATAACTGGGCTCATTTTAAAAGCAATTAAAATTAGAAAACATGATGGCTAGTGAAGGAGAGTCTAATTTCATGCAGATTCTAAGAAGAAGGCTTGCAGTTTCAGAGATTTTTAAGTTGCTAGTGCTGGTCCAATTTCACTGGAGGCTTTCCTTTTCCAAAAATCGGATAAAATACCAACATTATCCTTTTCTTATCTGTCCAATATAGGGTTATATGTTGGTCCACAAATGGAAGAAACAGGAGAGGAAGAGGGAAGAGGTTTTAAGGGAAAGGTGTAAAGAAAAATGAAGGAGCAAGTACATAAAAGAGGCAAGTGTTCCTGAGAGAAAGAAATGGTCAGTTACTGAAACTGAGTTCTGAAGGAAAAGGGAGAAGGAATTCACAGGCTTTCCTTGAAAGTGGGCAGAGGTGATAGGGAAGGAAAATTACACCAGGTAGTGCCGTGGAGAGAAGATAATGTACTTCTGTGTAGGGAATAGCTACCTTCTAAACAGGTAGAGATAGCAAACTATTGCTTGTATCTACCAACGATTAGTAAATTAGGTGTTGAAATCTGAGGACTATTGGTCTTGCCCCCAATCTCACAGAACAAAAAACCTCGCTGCCGCAGCCAAATGCACCATTATTTCTAATCCCCCTTCCTCACCTGGTTCAGGACCCATCATTAATTGCACCCACTCCTCCACGGACAGCTGCATCACTTGATTGTCTTTCACGTGCCAGGAATCCGGCTTTTTGGCAAACACTGCACAACAGAATGGCTCTATTTTGAGCATACAGACATATCCACAAAGATTTTCTTCATCGTATACCTCAAGGAATTTGCATAAATAATTTATCTTCTTCTTCTCCATACAGAAGTGATAGACAGGCAACTTGCTGATGCATTTTTCTATTTCTCTTTCTAACTTGTCAAGGTCACTCTTCTCTGCTTTAAAGCCAATTACTTCTTGTTTTTCTTCACTTAAACCAATAAACAAATATCCCCCACGAGTATTTGCAAATGCAGAAACGTTTTGAGGGAGAATCTCTTTAATGCGTTGTAACAGCTTTTGTGTTGAGAAGTCTTTAATTTCCACATATGTGGATTCAGTAAAGGTGAGTTTTTCTCTGTACCTGAGTTGCGTCCTATTAAAAAAGTCAGAAGCCAAGGCCTTTGTGCTACTTTCTTCTGTTTCTTCTCGGCACCTCTTTGAAGACGATTTCGACATTAAAGAAAATCTCTCTCTAGTTTCTACCCTGTCTTTAAGGAATTCCAGTGCCACGGTAGCATTCATGACATTTACAGAGGTTATATCTCTTTTGTACAAATTGGAACTCAAGGTGGCAATCTTCATCCCAGGGATTTTGGAGCTCCACGATTTGACAAAAATCAGAAAATATTTACCTTGTTTCATAAAGTCAAAGTATTTATGAACAATTGGAACCATATCGGCTAAAGAATGTTCCAAATCTAATCCGATTCCATCTTTTTCATAACTATAATCTTCATTCTCAATTTCAATCTTGCTCATCCCCCCTCCAGAATTCAGCAAAGTAATCACACATTTTGAGAGGTTTTCATTCTGCTTTTTTCTCAGTTGAGAATCTCTCATTTTCTTTCTCTTCTTCTCCCCCAAAGTGACTTTTCCCACATCTAGAACCAGCTCAGCGTAGTTAGAGTCCGAAACAACACAGTTGGTCATTTTCTCAGAAGCCATTCAATTTCCAAGCAGAAATTCTTTTCTGTAAAACAGACAGCCATTTAAAATAGTACCTGAACAGAAGAGATAGCAAATTCTGTATTGTGAGGCAAACCCAGCAACATTCTTTCTTTTGCTTTACCCTATATCCCACTGAATAGCACAGTAAGGATACAAAGTATGTTTTTTTGAACATATTTTGAATTAAGGTGATAAATTTTTCAATATTTTACCATAGTTTTATATGACCCTCTTCTAATTGTTTGAATCTCATATTTATCTGTTTATATTATATCCTTTCTAATTCCATATATATATAAAACTTATTTCTCTCTTCTTAAATAAAGCCCTGAGGAAAGCCTGTCTATATTTCTGACCTCAGTGAACCAAGTTTTAGTTTTATATATTACATATGTTTTAATTTTTTAAATAATTTCAACTTTATCTTAATTATCTTATTGAGGAATCCTTTGGTGAAATTATCATTGTTGAGTATAAAGACATCTAGCAATATACCATTTTTTTCTTTTTTTAGTTGTAAAGCAACATTGCTTTACAATGTTGCATTGGTGCAATATGCCATTTTAGTAATTTTTCCTTCCTGCAAGGATGAATCAGATTCACAAATTTTGGCCATTGATATTAAGCAAGGTGGGCCAAGATTTTCTATTTTCTATCCATTTTCTATCAGATATAGCCACATATTTTCAATGAGGTAAAATTCTTATATACAAAAACATCTGCTTTAGTATAACTATATACATAATCCATTAGCTCTGTCCCTTTAAGGTCTATTGGGATTACGGTTTTCCTATATGGCCTAGACACAACTGAGTGTAAAGTTTATCACAGATAGGAATCACTATACTGGGAAAGGATATAAAGGGTCCAAATATTCCTATCCATTGCTGGACCAGTATCCTGAGGAGGCTCAGCTGTAGCTTGTAGATACCACCTCAGTCTCCATAAACTTTTGGTCATATGTAAATAACTGTATGAATTGAATATTTGTTTCCCTCCAAAACTCGTACACTGAACCCCTGCCCTACCATGCGGAAGGTACTAGAAAGTTGGGCCTCTGGGGGGTCATTAGGATCAGATGAGATCATAAGGTTCGAGCACTCATAAATAAGATTAATGCCTTTATAAGAATCTCAAGACAGCTTGCTTCTCTTCTCTGCTCTCTACCATGTCATGAAAAATCAGTAATCCGCAACCAGAAAAGGACCCTCTTTTCAACCAGACTAGAACCTGACCACACTGGCACCTTGATCTTGGACTTCCCAGCCTCCAGAACTGTGAGAAATAAATTTCTGTTGTTTATAAGCCACCCAGTCTAGGATAGTTTTGTTATAGCAGCCAGAGCTGAGACATCAAAAATAACTCTTTGTGCTGTGTGCTGAGTCGCTCAGTTGTGTCCGACTCTTTGCGACCCCATGGACCCCAACCTCTGTCCATGGGGATTCTCTAGGCAAGAATCCTGGAGTGGGTTGCCATGCCTTCCTCCAGGGAGGATCTTCCCAACCCAGGAACAGAACCCAGGTCTCTCGCATTGCAGGCAGATTCTTTACTGTTTGCGTCATCAGGGAAGCCACCAGGAAGTTTAGAGTGGCTGTTTTCAAACTACAGGAAATCAGGTGGGGGTTTCTAATGAGAACACAAACAGGAAAGATCTGGGGCTGGTTCCTGCCATGGACTCTGAACCTCCGGGGTACAGAGCACTCTTCATGCTCTGGAATGTCGTCCACGAAATTTTCTGAGCCCTTCCAGTGCCTGGAACCAGCCAGGGCCAGCAGTGTCATCCTGGAAGGTTGCCCAAGCCTGGACAACACTGTAAGGTTTCAGGTCCAACATTCCTCTCTTTGGAGTTCTCAACGGTCTCTACCCAAGGAGCCCTGGGACTCATGCCAACTTGTTGTGGTGGGTCCTGATTGGTTGCTGGTTGTTGCGGATAGTCTGGTGGTATTATCTGCTTGTTTTTTTTGTGCTCCTATTCTTCTGTTGTTGCCTCCTACTCCGTGTTGTGATGTTTTTTGTGGTGTGTTGTTATTTCGTCATGCTGGTGGTTTCTTCCTTATTATTATTATTCTTCTTACAGGTTGTTCCGCGGGGTGCTTGCTGCCTTCTTCCATGTTGTGAGGGCGGAGGGAGGGTCGTTTTTTAAGCACCAGGCGGCTGTCCTCATCCGCCACCTTTTTTGCTGCACCTTCTTTCGTTGCTGTAAGTAATCTTCTTTTATTTTTTATCCGCCCCGTCTTTTATGTTTTTTTGTGGCAGCATGATGAACTTATTATGTTTGCTGAGTGGTTGATCTTCTTATTTTTTGTTGTGGAGTGCTGCTGGCCGGCCGGCATGGTGGTGCTGTTGTTCTTTTTTTTGTTGAGATTATTTTTATTGGCAAGAATCCCACACACACAAAAAAATTTAGCCAGGCAGAATTCACCAGTGAAGGCATCTTCATAGCCAGGTAGAATTCACCAGTGAAGCCATCTTCATTTCACCTTCTTCTGACCCTCATTTCTTATTTTTTTTAGGAATATATTATGTCTTTATTGATTATTTTGTTGAAGCGTTGAATGAGATCCTTTAACTTACATTCATCCAGTTATCCTTTTGCTTTTTTTTCTACTTCCTTCCTTATTTATTTATTTATTTCCTCTCTCTTTTATTTACTTATGACATTAGAAAATTTTAGTTTGATAATAAAACAATAGTGATATCATCATGTCTTATGGCAGGCAAAATAATAATCCTTAAAGATGTCCATGCTCTAAACCCCAGATCCTGCAAATATGTTACCTTATATTATACCAACAGCCTCTACAGATGTGATTAAGGGTACAGATCTTTTTTTTTTTTCATTTATTTTTATTAGTTGGAGGCTAATTACTTTACAATATTGTAGTGGTTTTTGTCATACATTGACATGAATCAGCCATGGATTTACAAGTATTCCCCATCCCGATCCCCCCTCCTACCTCCCTCTCCACCTGATTCCTTTCTTTTTTAATTGAAGTATAGTTGATTTACAATGTGATAGTTTCAGGTGTATAGCAAACTAATTCAGTTATACATATGTGTGTGTGTGTGTGTGTGTGTGTGTGTGTAAATCTAGTCTTTTTCAGATTCTTTTTCATTGTGGGATATTAAGAGATATTGAATATAGTTTCCTGTGCTATACAGTAAGCCCTTGTTGGCTATCTATTTTATATATAATAGTGTGTATATGTTAATCCTGATTTATCCCTCCCCCTGCCTTTTCCCTTTGGTAACCATAAGTCTGCTCTCTATGTCTGTGAGTCTATTTCTGTTTTGTAAATAAGTTCATATGAATCATTTTTTTAAGATTCCATATATAAATGATATTAGTCTTTCTCTGTCTGACTTACTTCACTTAGTATGATAATTTCTAAGTCCATCCATGTTTCTGCAAATGGCACTATTTCATTCCTTTTTACGGCTGAGTAGTATCCCGTTTTGTGTGTATGTGTATATATTTATATGATACATCTTCTTTATCCATTCACCTGTCCATGGACATTTAGGTTGCTTCCATGCCTCGGCTACTGTAAGTAGAGTTGCTATGAACACTGAGGTGCCTGTATCTTTTTGATTTAGTTTTCCCTAGAAAACTGCCTGGGAGTGGGATTGCTGGATCGTATGGATACTGTTCTCCATAGCTGCTGCATTAATTTACATTCCCACCATCAGTGTATGAGGGTTCTTTTTTCTCCATACCCTCCCCAGCATTTATTGTTTGTAGACTTTGATGATGGTCAGATCTGACCAGTGTGAGGTGATACCTCATTTTAGTTTTGATTTGCATTTTACTCTTATAATTAACAACGTCGTGCATCTTTTCATGTACCTGTTGGCTATCTATCTTGGATAGATGTCTATTTGGGTCTCCTGACTACTTTTTGATTGGGTTGTTTTTTTGACATTTGGGTTATATAACCTGTTTGTATACATTGGGAATTAAACCCTTGTCAGTCACATTGTTTGCAAATATTTCCTCCCATTCTGTGGGTTGTCTTTTCATTTTGCTTATGGTTTCCTTTGCCGTGCAAAGTATTTTAAGTTTAGTTAGGTCCATTTGTTTATTTTTCCTTTTATATCCATAACCTGAAGAGACGGATCCAAAAACACGTTGCTGCGACTTATGTTGAAGATGTTCTGCCTATGTTTTCCTCATTTCCTCTGTTAATGCCTTCCTCTGTGTTTATTTTTTCCCCAAACTTTACCTTAGGGTTCACTCTTGGTGTTGAATTTTCTATGGGTTTGGACCAGTGTATAGTAACAGGTATCCATGATTGCACTATCATACAGAGCGTTTTCACTGCCCCCCAAAATCTTCTGTGCTCCACCCGTTCTCCTCTCTGCAACCCTCAGTCCCCGACAACTGCTGATCTTTTTACTGTCTTAGTTTTGCCATTCCCATAATGTCGTATAATTGGAGTCATACAGTATGCAGTCTTTTCCATCGACTTCACTCACATGATAATATGCATTTAAGGTTCTTCTGTGTCTTTTCATGGCTTGATAACTCACTTATTTTTTTAAAAAACTTTTAATTTTGTATTGGGGTGTGGCCAATTAACAATGTTGTGATAGCTTCAGGTGAATAGCAAAGGGACTCAGCCATACATATACATGTATCTGTTCTCCCCTATACTCCCCTACCACCCAGGCTTACTTATTTTTAACACTGAATAATATTCCATTGCCTGAATACACCACAGTTTATTTATCCATTCACCTACTGAAGGACGCTTTCCAGGTGGTGCTAGTGGTAAAGAACCTGCCTGCCAAACCAGGAGACTTGAAGAGACATGGGTTTGATCCCTTGGTCGGGAGCATCTCCTGGAGAGGGGAGTGGCAGCCCACTCCAGTATTCTTGCCTGGAGAATCCCATGGACAGAGGGGCATGGTGGGCTATAGTCCATGGGGCCACAAAGAGTCAGACACAACTGAAGCGACTGAGCACTGAAGGGTATCTTAATTGCTTCCCAGTTTGGGCAGTTATGAATATGGCTGCTAAAT